ACTTAAGGTTGAATTAATTAATTCAACCTTAAGTTAATTCACTTTTTCTAGTGTGTATATGACCTAATTCGTTAGGGTGTCAAGTCTCACTAAACACCCCCATTGAATAACAGTTATACTTTACTGTTTTATTTATTCTTTTCAATAATCTAAAAAATTGAAAAATAAATTTATTTAATCTGAAAAAATAAAAAATAAAATTTATCTAATCTAAAAATAAAAGATAAAATTTAATTAATCTAAAAATAAAAAATAAACTTCATTTAATCTAAAAAATAAAAAATAAATTTATTCCATCTAAAAAATAAAAAAATAAATTTATTCCATCTAAAAACATAAAAAAATAAAATTTATTTAATCTAAAAATAACAAACAAACTTTATTTAATCTAAAAAATAAAAGCTAAAATTTATTTATATCATCAATATAGAAAAATGAAAAATAATATTTTCTGTATAACCCATAGAGAAAAATAAAAAATAAAGCAAGCTGCTATCTATATCACCAATATACAAAAAAATAAATTAAAAATCTGATTTTCTATATTATTGGTATAGAAAAAACCAACAAAACTAACTGGTATCTATATTACTAATGTGGAGAAATAATAATTAGGATTTTCTATATAATCAATATAGAAAAATTAAAATTAAAACTAACTGATATTTATATTACCAATATCGAAAAATAAAAAAAAATTAAAATCAAGATTTTCTATATTAATGAGATACAAAATTAAGACATGAAAGTAACTGTTGTCCATATTAGCAGTATAGAACAAGAATAGATAGAAATTAAAATTTTCTATATTATCACTATAGAAAAATGAAACATTACAATTAGGATTCTCTATATTATCAAATATAGAAAAATTAAAATACCATTTTCTATATTATCAATGTAGAAAATCAAAAATAATAAATAAGATTTTCTATACTACCAATTTAGGAAAATAAGAAATGAAAACTAAGATTCTTATACTATTGATTTAGAAAAATAATAAACAAAAGTAACTGTTATCTATACTGCCAATATAGAAAAAAAACAAATAAAACCAACTATTATCTGCATTGTCAATATAGAAAAATAAAAAATAGAAGTTAGCATTTTCTATATTATCATTTTAGAGAAACAATACAGAAAACTAACTGTTTCTATATCATCAATATAGAAACAGTATATAGAAAGTCTGATTTTCTATATTATAAATATAGAAAATAAAAACCATAAAACTAACTGTTATCTACCTTATCAATACAGAAAAATCAGAATCAAAACTAACTGTTATTTATATTATTAATATAGAAAAGATGAATTGAAACATAAGATTTTCTATATTATTAAACTAGAAAAACGATAAGTAAAAATGGGATTCTCTATATAGCCAAAATAGAAAAACAAGAAATACAAATAGGAATTTCTATACTACCAGAATCGAATAATGAAAAATAATGAATAAGATTTTATATAATATGAAATATAGAAAAATTAAAAGTAAAAATTAAGATTTTCTATATTATCACTGTAGAAAAATAAAAAATGAAAATTAGGATTCTGTATATTATCAAATATAGAAAGATTAAAATTAAATTACACCTTTTCTATACTATCAATTTGGAAAAATCAGAAATGAAAATTGACATTTTCTATATTATTAATATAGAAAAATAAGAAATGAAAGTTAAGATTTCTGTATAGTCACTAGAGAAAAGTACCAAAACAAACTAGGTACACGGATTGATCTTGTTTTTTAACTACTATTCTTCACAGTAAAACTGATCGAATCAACAATTTCCGAATAAGTTAAAGAACAGGAGAGACCATACACATTCAGCTAAGAACAGACAGGATCCACATTATGTTCTCTTATGTTTCTTTTTACATTAATCTCATATGATCTGATAAGATCTCACAAGAAACATTCAGCCGGTACTAATAGGTTTCTTAATCTTTAAATCTTGTAAGATTTTTGCTGGCATCTTATGGTCAAAATCTGAGGAAATCTTCAAACAACGAACACATATGAAATCATATGATCTTGTGACAAGATCATGGAGAAAATCCTATAAGGATAAGATCTTATCGGATTTTGCATGATTTGATGTCAGGTTTTTGACTTGGGTAGATTTTGATTGTACAGTGTCACCAAATAATCTTATGAGATTCAAAGATTAAGACACTTATAGGGACAGACTCAATGCTTCCTATCAAATCTCTTCAAACCACAAAAGGTTCATACAAAAAGGAACATACACCAGTACCTACTGAAGATCTTATCTATCCTTATCCGATCGTGTATGATGTTCCCTGTTCTTTATTTATTTGAGAATTGTTGATTCGAGTAGTTTTACTACGAAGAACAGCAGTTGAAAAACACGATCGAGTTGTGCACACAATTATTTTTCTATACGAACAATAAAAGAAAATATTATCTTGTACCTCTTAATTTTCTATATTGTTAATATAGAAAATCTTAATTTTAGTTTTTTATTTTTTTATGTAGGTAACATAGAAAATCTTAACTTCAATTTTTTATTTTTTTATGTATAGGTAACATAGAAAACAGTACTTTTACTTTATTTTTCTATAACAATAATATAGAAAGTGGTTAAGTTTATTTCTTTCTTTTCTATATTAATAATACAAAGAATATTAATTTTTATTTTCTGCTTTTCTATATTAGTAATATACAAAATCTCATTATAATTCTTATTTTTCTATATTATTAATACACATAACAGTTAGTTTTATTTCCTATTTTTCTATAATAATAATATAGGAAATATAAATTTTCATTTCTTTTTTTTCTATACCCTGAATATAGAAAATCGCATATTTACTTTTTATTTTTCTATAGCAATAGTATAGAAAATGGTTGATTTTATTCCTTAATTTTCTATATTAATATTATAGAAAATCTCAAATTTAATTTTTCATGTTCGAGAAACTTGATGTAAGACTTGACATCAGATTTCTGAGACAACAATTTTTCGTATGATTTTCCGTATGATCTCGTATGATCATATACAATAGTTTGTAAGATCTAATAGAATCATACAAAAATTCATGACCGATCTTTCTATATGATTTCTCGATGTGGAAACCTACGACTAAGTTACGACCATATACGGTCGTATACTACAATCGTGCACGACAGTCGTTTATTTGCAACGTATACGTTGATCGTACTTGAACGTATGGCATCGTGTACGTCCATCGTATACGATTGTCGTATACGATGACCGTTTCTAGACGTATTTCGTCGTATACGATCGTTTACGATCGTGCTTTTTTGACCTGGGTGGGGAATCGGAACCGAAATATTAACGTACTTTTGAAAGATTATGTATAGTTTTATCGTTGAAATTAAGAGAAACAAATTTCTCAATACTCAAATAAAATCAAAATAAACTAAGTGAATGAACTTCAAGCTCGAAATTCAGCTATGTTCTAGAAAGATTAGATAAATTTAGTCGTATGTACGATTTGTATAGGCTCGGAATGTAAACTTTTCAAAGGTGCAGAATCTAACTACGTGCGTGAGCAACCGTTTGAGAACAATTTTGAAAAATAATGAGTGCCATATAGTACATGTTGTACTTTTATTTTTAACCTTTAAGAGTTTAATTCTTTATAAAATTGTCGGGTGTTTTTGGATAGATTTTTCATATAGGCATAAACTTTATAAAAAAAACTTACTGAAATGTCAATTGTAAATTCCTATTTTTCTACGGTTAAAAAAAGGATTGTGTCAGAGTGTGCTTATCAAGGTTAATGCCAAAAGCTAAGCATTGTACATCAAAAGATAAATAAGTTCTTGGTCTACATCTTAACAATCTTAACATGGGTTGAAGTGTTTTCTTTAGGAGAAGAACAGTTGCTAACTAACTACTATCTATAAAATGATGGTATCGTATATGGTTCGATGCAGTTTCTTGCGCTAATTCTTAATATGATCTTTTTATTGAATAAAAACGTTTCGGAGTCAAGAACAATAAGAATCGCCTGAAAAATCATGTTTTCTTTACGAAAACCTCTTGTAGAATCCAAGTACATTTATGTTAATAGAAGTGATAGATAAAATATAAGAGAACATTTTGAAAAGCCTAAATAAGCTTCATATTGCAGTGTGAAAGAGGCGCTCATTTTACTTATAGAATCGGTTGGAAAATCACAGCCAAGAAAAAGACAATTTTATTCTCATTTTGTTTTCTATTGTCACTTTAGTGGATTCTATAAAAAAATGTGAATTGCATAGATGATACTATTTTCAGGCTAATTTTTAATTAGCTGACTTTTTTGCTCTTCTTGATGTTTGTAACAAAACTTTTAACGCCATCAAATAGTCTATAGTGCGGAGTATATATATACAAGTATTTGAATCTTGTCAAAGTGAGTTGTCGACTTTTCACCTAACTTCCACTTCGCTGCCTACTGTGGACAGTTATACAGAAATTCAAATCCTCAATTTAATGGCATAAAAACCAAAATTTAAAATAATTGTTAAATACATCAAACTCATAAAAAATAAAATTGTGTCATATAATATATGGTATTTGTTACTTTTCCGTCTCCAGAGAAAATTTCAGTCTCTCAAAAGAATCTCTTATTGTTTTTTGCTGGCTTTCTTAGTCTTCGTTTACAAATTGTAGATGCTATAGAAATAAATTTTAATAAAAAACAATAAGAATACATTCTGATAGAGTTGAAAAATAATTCAAGTATTATGTAAATACTCTTCTTGGTAATTAAGAAAAAATGAATTTTGTAACTGTTCGTTTTTTGTTATTTACTTCATAAAGTCAGAATGATCAAGAATGTGAAGCATTATTAGAAGATATTATTACTTGTTCAAAAATTTATTCCTACATTGCTAATAAACGAGAAATGAACAAGAAAGTGATAGGAAAAAATCTAGGTTTTTTTTTAATAAATCTGAGTGTGGCTGCAATCAAAGAGAAGATCAGTGCTCACTCACACTGACCAGATCCCACATTCATATGCACATTCAAACTAATTTTCAAAGGTTTATATAGA